CTTTTATTATTGGTCTATATCATTTAATATGAATAAACAGTCAGTTATTTTAGGTTTAGCTTTATTTTTTACATTTTAATTATGTTTATTAGTGGATTGTTTACTGTAAACATGCTGTGCTCTGCAGGTCATGAACTTCATGAACAAACTGGCAGGAAACGAGTACGTAGGCTTCAGCAACGCCACGTGAGTACAACAACACATCACTACAGACACATACAGAACACACGTTGATGTTTCAGTGCTTTGTTATATACAATGAATATGAACATGAAGGACAGTTCTGTATCACTGAGTCAGCTGAGTCATGGTGTTTGAAGAACAAACCCGTCTTTCTCTGCTTGTCCCAGTTTCCAGTCGGAGCGAGAGTCTGGAGACAGGAACTTTGCCATCGGCTACTACCTGAAAGAGAAGAAGGTAAAGTTTTACATATTTCCATTCATTCTCCTTCAGTACGTCTGCTGCTGTTTTGATCACGAGCCATTAAAGTCACGCTCTGTACATACACAACGTTTCTTTGCTGCGTACAGATTATGATGAAGGTTATTGTTTGTTCCAGAGAAGCAGCAGGTGTGTTAGTAGACGTGTGTTGACAGGGTTGTTGTTCTTTCAGTGTTTTCCAGAAGGGACGGACATGACCTCCATCCTCGACTTCTACTTCCAGGTAAATGGAGTCTAGAAAAATGTGGAATAAATGTGTTTTTATTATATAGGATTCATTACAATGAGTCTGTGGAAGATCAGGGAAAAAAAGGTCTAATTTCTATTTTCTAAAAACTGTTGAGCAGTTTAATGTTCAGTTTGTTTGATTGATTTTTAGTTGACTCTAACCCAAAACCGGCATCGTACTGGAATCAGTATTTATGTATCATTGAATTTGATTCATGTGTATGATCGTAAACAAAAACAACTCCGTTTTATGATGAAAAACTCAACTTAAAGACAGTTTCAAACCGCTGACTGTGAACATTTTGTATGGGATGATCCTGTAATTAAATTAGAACTACTAAAGTTGCTGTTACAGTCAGTAGTTTAAATACTTTAATGTTTATAATGAAAACTCTAATGTTCTGTGGGAAAGTAGCATTATAAACCTTTTGTTTATGCCCCCCCCCCATCAGCTGTGCTCCATCGAGGTGACCTGTGAGAGCGCCAGCGTCATGGCGGCGACTCTGGCCAATGGCGGCTTCTGTCCAATCACAGGAGAGCGCGTGCTGAGCCCCGAGGCGGTGCGAGACACTCTGAGTCTGATGCATTCCTGCGGCATGTACGACTTCTCCGGACAGTTCGCTTTCCACGTCAGTATCTCGCCCACCAACGCTCACACCGCTGCTCTGCAACAATAAGAGTTTTTGGCGTCAATGCGACGTCCTGCTTCTGTTTCAGGTCGGTCTGCCGGCTAAATCTGGCGTCGCTGGCGGGATTCTGCTGGTTGTTCCGAACGTCATGGGCATCATGTGTTGGTCTCCTCCCCTCGACAAGCTGGGGAACAGCGTCAGAGGCATCCAGTTCTGCACGGTGAGAACAACACTGGTTCGACTTTCTCTGTGAAGCCAGCACACACCGTTCTTTACCCTTCACGTTCCCTGAGTTAACTCAGTTTGTTGCACTCTAAAGTTAGTTAGTAATTCCACTTTTGTTCTCTTCTTCCAGGACCTGGTTTCTCTCTGTAACTTCCACAACTACGACAACCTCGAGACACTTCTTGCTAAAGAAGCTGGATCCTCCGCAGGGAGGGAGGAGACCAGAGGGTGAGCCCCAGCAACGTTCTCCTTCATCCAGCTTCACCTCCTCCTTCCTCCTACACCCCCCGTTAAAGTCTTTAAGCTGCAGCACAGAGGATTTAACGTGTGACATCCACATGTTCACTGTCTCTTCTTACATTCTTGTCGAGGTTTATTTTTAGTCGAAAACGTCACATTTTTCAGATGGTCTGCGTCACTTCCTCCTGCTGTGTCCTCAGTGGCCTGCATGTTGTGTGACCTTGGTGTACGGTTTAATGCACAGCGCCATCTGGTGGAAAATAACATCATAACAATAACATTTTGCACCACTCGACTCTTGATATAGTTTTGTTGTAACGTCACATCTAAAACTTAATATATGTCCCACTTTCACTCACTTTTTTAGATTCAATGTTGTGAATTTTGCCGATATTGTGAGAAACATTCTTATTTTTATTAAAACAATGAGAAACTAAACAGCTGCTTCATTTCCAACACTGGAAACAGACGACTTTCTCTTAAACTGAAGTTGTTTGAGTTCTCTTAAATCTTAAATAATGACAATAATATATAATATAATGTTACTGGTTAAATGGAGCTCAATATTAAGCTGTAATATCTTATTAAGACAAAGTTAGATTTATTTTCTTAAAACCAGATTCTAATTCAAAACATGTTTGACAAGGTTTCCTTTATTTCTTGCTCTCAGCCTTCATGTGTTGTTGTGTTTCAGGTGAAGTCGGTGATCAATCTGCTGTTTGCTGCTTACACTGGAGACGTCTCAGCCCTGAGGAGGTGAACCGACTCTTTAAATGTTGTCTGTCAGTGTTTCTTCCAGTGTTTGTTAACTAAAGGGAAGTTTCTTGAGTCGATGTTTAACGTTTGCCGATTACTCGTCCAGGTTTGCGTTGTCCTCCATGGACATGGAGCAGAGGGACTACGACTCCAGGACGGCCCTGCATGTGGCGGCTGCTGAAGGTACAAACAGTCGAGATCATCGTTAACGTGGGTCACTCTGATCAGTGTGTTTGTGGAGCTGATGTGTGTGTGTGTGTGTGTGTGTGTGTGTGTGTTTCAGGACACGGCGAGGTGGTTCGCTTCCTGCTGGAGGCCTGTAAAGTCAACCCGGTTCCCAAAGACAGGTGAGACTTAACCTCTGGAAACAATGAGATATACGGGCTCATAAATGTAATACATGGTGACATTGATTAGATGTTAAAAGGAAACCCGACGTCCAGCAGTTTTCATTTCTTGATGTTTATTGTTTTTATTGTTTTATTGTTTTATTGATCCCTGTTCTGACCGTTCTCTCCGCTGCAGGTGGGGAAACACACCGATGGACGAGGCGGTCCACTTCGGCCACCACGACGTGGTGACCATCCTCCGCGATCACCACACCAAGTACAGCCATCAGGACACCGGCACCGACAAACAGAACGCAGAGAAGAACCTGGACGGGATGCTGTGAGGGGAAACGGCGGAGGAGAAAAGAAGCTGATGGTTGAGTGTCCAATGAACGCGGGCGGAGCGCTCTGAGGGGGGAGGAGTCAAATCAGAACGATCAGAAAGGAAATTTTATTAAACACTCACATGTAAAAGAGTTAAATCAACCCAGACAACAAAGTGTACAGTGGCGCCCGTTAGAGGCCGCGTAGATCACCACCACGTCCCGCCAGTGTAAAAGCTCCTCATCCTGTTAGTAGATGTTGTTGGATGTTTTGTATATTAATGTACTTTGAGTGGGGAAAATATTTTCCTTTCATTTCTCCTTCCGTATTTCGTCATCAGCTTTGTAGGAAGCAACCAGCCTCCAGTTGAATGCTGGGTAAATTCAGCTGCAGCTGGTCCTTTACTTTGAAATTGTTTGTTTTTGTTCTGAAAAGCTGAAAACAGGAAGGCGTCTTCCTCACGTCATCGTCACAACATGGTGGAATGTATCTTCCCCAAACACGTCAGTGTGTGTGTGTGATATTTATTTATCTATTTAAGATAAACTGTACATTCATGTAGTGTGTGTGTGTGTATTCCTGAGACGAGGATAACTTAGAGTAAATACGTACAGGTGTAAAGGTGTAAAGTCGTAGTTCTGTAGTCGATCACCGAAACAAACACAGTCTGGTGTAAAACTGGAAAGTGTCAATATTTCCATTTTAAATCTGAGATTTACAAGAATTTGTGTTTATTTAAGCTGTTAAATATTCAACCTTTAAAGGTCAAAGTCTTATTGAATAGCTTGAATTGTTTTTACCCACCAAAATCTTTTATTTTCCACCGTTACACTGAATGATTTGATGTTTCTTTCATGTTCTTGTGAGCGAGGAAGTTCAGGTTGTTTGTTGTCTCCGGATCATTAAAGAATGTGACACTGCCAGCACAGACAGCAGCTTCGCTTCCTGTAAATACAGCGTCTGAATGAAAGGTTCAGTGTGGAGCAGAAACTTATATTCTTATAGATTACATTCTTATATTATACAGGCGATTATACTCATTATTATTTCCTCCTGAATGTTCAATATTAACACTAAAACGCCGATTCAACCAGTTTCAAAGTAACTTCAACAAAGTAAAAAGTTGTTTGTGTTTTTCCCGTTTTACCAACATGAAGAGCACAAAATGACATGAAACAAGATTCTTACTCATTTATTCCGCTGCAGATTTATAACTTCTGTCTTTTTTTCAGCAACATGTCTGAACTTTTGCACTTTTATGTTCTTTAAAGTGAAAGTGCTCCACTTTCACTTTATTCACTTTAAGATGGAGTCTGTTTGTTTTGTTGAATCCAGGTTGTAGACTGTCCCAGGAATTATGAAGCACTGTAAACAACCGGAGCTTTACGGTGCACAAGAGTCTCATACTTGAACGGTTGTGCAGATGTTTAGTTTTTCCAGAGGTTTTTGTGTTTGTAGAGTGTTTGTTGTTTGGATGTTTGTGTACAGACAGACGGATCAACCACAGTCAGGTTGGGATCAACGACCGAACAGAAGCACAAAACAAAAGCTGCAATATCCGAAGAGTCGGCGATAGAAATGTCTGAAGGATGAAAGAGTGCAGCTCCCTCCGCTGTCGTCCTTCTGTTTCCTCTTCACATGTTTACTCACAGATCAAACATTTAATAAAGGTTATAAAAGCCACTGAGCTCTGTGTTTATTAGTGCACAATAACAACAACAACAACAACAAAAACAACAACAACCTCGCTCTGTGTCAGCTGTATCTTTCATTCAAGTCAGTTCAATGTGAATGTTAAACTTTAATGTAGTATTTAAGATATTGACCCAGAAGTCCACGAGACCTTAAACAAGCGTCTTACTGTTGACTCTAAAGGGTTTGTTGTATGTTGGACTCTTAAAGGTTTGTTGTTGTTGACTCTAAAGGTGTTGTATGTTGAGCTCTAAAGTTTTGTTGTTGTTAGACCGTCTAAAGAGTCAACAATCAGTTTATTTTCATGAACATTAAACACAACAACAACAACAACAAACATGAGATCAGGAGTTAATGTTAAACAAGGATAAATAAAGTTCAGTTAAAGTAAAGTAAACGATAAAGTAAATAACGGACTCCAAGATCAGGGGGTTAATGACGAGGGACAAACAGGCCAGATCAGCGCAGGAGGAAACACGGAAGTGAAGGTGGAGCGGGAAAACCGAAGTGGAAATGACGTGGGAACGGTGACCGGATACCAAAAATAAGAAGTTTCGGATGAAAACAAGAAGGAGAAGATT